TCAATACTTTATTTGCAAGCTCTGCAAATGTGGGCGGGTGTTAATTGTAAACAATTAAGGTCACCTTTCTCTCAACTTGACTTTTGACATTACAGCCAAGCTGACTCACTCGTTTCTCTCAACTTTTCAAAAACAGCATGACTTACAAGGAAATGACAAACTTTCAGGTAAAATAATGTTTCAATTTATACGAAAACTCGGGATTAATATCAACTTTTCTGAATAACCCCCTTATTAACAGTTCCCCTTTTTCTAACGTTCGCCTTTTAGTATTCCCCGTACCATGTAATATAATATCCCTATTTATGATATTATATTTACCTTAGATTTATCCCTGATTTACTATTGTATTATTTTTCATGTACTTACTCAACTGATGCCCAACTGCATGGAACTCCTTTGACTCAACCCTTAAAACTACCCTTACTAACAATTGGTGTACTACTCTCCTCAAGTAATTTACCCAATATTTATATCCGGTCATTCCTCTCCGCTCTCCATCTACTTGATGATTTAGGTTAAAATTTTGACCGAGTTAATTTCAGTGAGAGAATTAGGAGAAGCGCCATCGTCTCAGGCTTCGACCACCTGAAGACCCAAAAGGGTCCCCCTTTTGTACTATTTTAATACAATTGAGGGGGAGTACGCGCCAAAACAACGCAATTTTTTCGTCAAAACTTTCCAAACACAGCCTAAAAACTGCGGTTTTGGGCAGTTTTTTCATATTAATATAAGTTTATTTGCAAAATACAAAAATAAGTCACAAACACAGGTAATTTTGATAGGTCAGGGGGTTTTTTCAGCAAAAAAAAATGATATTGAATATGATATTTCCGAGAAAAAACATTAATAAAAGGAATTTAGAAGTTAGAAGTTCTACTCTTCTGAGTAAAAAAATACTGCTTTAATGTTGTTCTACAGCCATTCCAGCAAACCTGCGAACACTTAAAAGAGAAATGATCAGATAAAAATTAACCCGGCATGCGTTTATGTTTTGTTTTATCATGGATTTTATGGCGGTGTGATCAGTCGCTTTAAATGAAAATTTTGAAGACCAATTTTTTATCAATTTTTGTGCGTATTAAAAACAGCGATAAAAAATAGTTAGCTTCCTGAATGAGCTTGCTTATCTCTGAAGAATTACTTATTTTCTCAATTGATTTTTATAAAAGGTAATTGAGCTATCTAGTTCTTTGAGCTATACAAGTCAACTTAGTTAAAGGCGGGCAGTCAAACTAAAAAATTATATAAAGTTAAATTTAAAGTCGTTAGATGAACAATTTGTCGGAAAAAAACAACATTGAATTATTCTACAGGGGCATCAGAAAGATCATTTTAATTTGTAATACTATTTTACAACAATTCTTATCTGATGAATAATAATTCTTATCTGATGAACCAAAAAATTTAAATATTTTAAACTGTTCAAAGATTTTACTTCAGAGAAGAGACCAACTTTTTCAAAATCTGGGAAATCTCCAAGGTCGAGATGCTCACTTTTTTTGAATGTCCTGTCCGTTTTTGCGAATAGTTCAACCGTCTCAAACAAGTTTTGGGTGGTGTCGAGTTTCTCAGCCGAAAGAAAAAGGTGCCCCAATTTGGCATATTGATCCCGAAATACAAGAAACTTTGATCCTGCGCAACCATTGATTAATCTCCACCTTTTTTGTGTAATATGCTAGTTCAATTGAGACTCATACACAGATTTGAGTGTTTTGTTCCAACTTTTGTAACGAAAGTAATGGTATATTTGTGCTCGGGTTACTTGAGCTTAAATTTAAAAGAAATTAAATTGAAAGAATATTCAACCATACATCTTAAATCAATAATACTTAAAATTAATTAAGAATTACTTAAAATAATAAAACATCCTACATTTGCAAAAATGACAGAAAGGCGAAGAACCAAGGTCCGTTGAAATCGAGGAGCTACAACTTCTTTGTTCTTTGACTGAACGTCGAAATGCAAATAAGATAAAAACAACTCAAGCATTTTCCAGCATTTTTTTACAAATCGTTTACATAAGATTTCTCAACGAAAGTTTTTTTTTTTCAAAAAAGTAAGCAAAAATTTTGTCTGGAAATTGAATATGGTTTTTTTTGTTTTGGATTATTCGGCAAAATTACAAAAAAAAATCTCGACTGAATGCTAAAAATCTGTTTTTCTTCTTTTCATGAAATCAATTTTGGCAATGATAGTGAGCGAAGACGCACTCATATTTCCGCTCTGTCTGCTGGTCGTCGACCAGCCTCTAATTATTATTGGCTACAACAGTAGCCCCACATTAAAACTATAGTTACAAAGAATGGCATTGATAAAAAATAGAGCTTTGATCCAAACAAAACAACTCAGCCTCGAATACAAGGAAACAAAAGAAACGAAGTAATCGTAGACAGGCAGGGTCCACTTTGATAGATTGACTGCGACCAGCGGACACCAGTATATTTAAAGAAAAAGAGTGCTCAAGCCGTGAAAATTTCTGATCCGAGTTAAGTTCTGACCAGAAGATTTTCTATCACAAAAAAGATGCTTAAAAAAGGGGATAATGTTTTTGCTTAGTCAGCTCGTGTTTTTAAAGATATTTTTGAGTAGTGTGACAGACTTTAAACGTTTTTTTGGTCCTGCTTCAGAGTTTTTCCGCCAAAAAAAAACTAGAAAAAAAGCTTAATTACTTTTTCTACAAAACTTTTTGAATATTACGGCTAGCCATTATAGCTTGCTGCAAAACTTGTTGAACTCTTTTTTTTTTACTATAAGTAGGGAAAAAAACTGCAAGTGCACTCATGTTGCATCGACAAAACCATTTGAACCTCCTGAGTTGTGTGATGGCAAAAGAAAACGATCTTATTATGTGTCGAAAATTGATAAAGTCAGAGTCGTTTTTGGAGAGAGAAGCAAAACAATCCAATATGGATTGAAAACAATTTCAGAAAATGACCAGCAGGGCTTCCTCTGTGAAAATTTCGAGCGCAGTTTTCAAAAAAATTCAACTTAATAATGAACAAAAGGCAAAATAAGTTTGTATTTCCGGTCATTTCTCTCATTCTACTTGATGATTTAGGTTAAAGTTTTGACCGAGTTTAATTCAGTGAAAAAATTAGGAGAAGCGTCCTCGTCTCAAAATTTGACCCCGATACGATCCAAATTTCCCCGTTGGCTATATTTTAATAAACCTGAGGAGTGATCGCCAAAACAACGCAACTTTTTGGTCAAAACTTTCCAAAAAGAGCCTGAAAACGCCAGTTTTGGGCAGTTTTTCAAAATTAATACAAGTTTATTTGCAAAATAAAAAAATAAATCACAAACGAAGATAATTTTGTTTGGTCAAGGGGTTTCTTTTCAGAAAAAAAAAAGATATTGAATATTACATTTCCGAGAAAAAAATTATGTTGTTCTACAGCCGTTCCAGCAAACCTGCGAACACTTATAAAAGGGAAATGATCAGATAAAAATTAACTTGGCATGCTTTTATTTTTTGTTTTATCATGGATTTTATGGCGGTGTGATCAGTCGCTTTAAATGAAAATTTTGAAGACCAATTTTTTATCAATTTTTGTGGTGCGTATTAAAAACAGCGACAAAAAATAGTTAGATTCCTGAATGAGCTTGCTTATCTCTGAAGAATTACTTATTTTCTCAATTGATTTTTATAAAAAGTAATTGAGCTATCTAGTTCTTTGAGCTATACAAGTCAACTTAGTTAATGGCGGGCAGTCAAACTAAAAAATTATATAAAGTTAAATTTAAAGTTGTTAGATGAACAATTTGTCGGAAAAAAACAACATTGAATTATTCTACAAGGGCATCAGAAAGATCAGTTTAACTTGTAATACTATTTTACGACAATTCTTTTCTGATGAATAATAATTCTTATCTGATGAACCAAAAAATTTAAATATTTTAAACTGTTCAAAGATTTTACTTCAGAGAAGAGACCTATTTTTTCAAAATCTGAGAAATCTCCAAGGTCGAGATGCTCACTTTTTTTGAATGTCCTGTCCGTTTTTGCGAATAGTTCAAGCGTCTCAAACAAGTTTTGGGTGGTGTCGAGTTTCTCAGCCGAAAGAAAAAGGTGCCCCAATTTGGCATATATATCCCGAAATACAAGAAACTTTGATCCTGCGCAACCATTGATTAATCTCCACCTTTTTTGTGTAATATGCTAGTTCAATTGAGACTCATACACAGATTTGAGTGATTTGTTCCAACTTTTGTAACGGAAGTAATGGTATATTTGTGCTCGGGTTACTTGAGCTTAAATTTAAAAGAACTTAAATTGAAAGAAATTTCACCTGTGATAATTTTTCGTAAAATTATGGGGTTAATTTTGAAGACTGCCATTTTGGGGTGGGGGAGTCCGTCCTTATTAAAAAAAAAGAATTTTATTTTATTAAATTTGAATTTTTCATGTTAATACTGAACCATAGACTTTATAATGGAGAGCCTGATACGAGCAGTTTTGTTGCTTATTGTTTCGACTTAAGTAACGAAAGTAAACAAAAATATTTGTGCTCGGGGTGTTTTTTTTCTTTCTTCTTCTTAGCAAATTTCGACTTCTTAGCTAGCCTTTTTTGACAACTCTTTTTTATAATATTCGAAAGGTATTTTTGTCCGAGCTTAAATTTGAAAAAATATTTCACCTGGGATCACTTTTCGTTAAGTTACGGGAGTTTAAACATTGTAATTTTGACCAATTTAGGACTATTAACGCGCAATATATTTCGAGCTGTTAACGCGTAAGCACAAATCGTTCCGAATTGGTTGAAGGAAGCTTATTTGCCATAGTTGCCATAGTTTAATTGTTACTAGGAGCGAAATCTATCGCTTTGGTTTTTATATGGCAGGTGGGGGGATGATTTTCAAAAGAAATTCTCAATTTTTAAATCACATTTTTTCCATTTTTTTTATTTATAATTTTCTCATGTAACTAATGCTCCGTAGTCCTTAAAAGGCAGTCGGAACATTCAGGGCTTCACCCTGACACAAGTAGTCTTATTTAGATTCTGTTCACGCCCAAAACTCAAGTGCCATGCAATATGAACAGCTTCCGATAACCACTGGAAATAATATGACTCAGGACTTGGACGCAAATAACACTACGATTTGTTTAAGTAAGTAGAAAAACCGTATTCTCATATTATACATTTTAAAACTTTAGGAATTTTAAATTGAGCGATGTTCAGAAACTTCTAAGATTGTTAATAATAGTTTTGTATTTTGATACTTTTATCAATGCGGGCCCCTCAATCAAACCCAGCTCCATAGTTGGATGTCTGTTAAATTAATTCAAAATAATTGGGACAAGTTAGTTCATTATGAAGACAGCATTTTTAACCAAGATCTCCTTTTTAAAACCCCATATTTTCAGATATTATTACAAGCTCTATTTGAAAGAAAATTATAAATTACTAAGCATTAAAAGAGTCTTGGACAGCCTCTCACCTCCAGCTGACCAATGACGAGATGTCATCGTTCAATCAAATACGGTTATAATTAAAGACTCTTCTTAAAAAATGTAATTTTCATTGGTTTCAGATTCTTTAAGATATACCAGGATTCGAGCTATGCTTTGCTGCAAATAATAATGGCGTGTTCTGAACTTGAATTGTCACAGCAAAGTCTAAAGTGTGTTAATGTGAACACCGGAGAAAACTGCATCGACAAGGTTGAAGTTTATTCCAATAGTGGACAATCGGCTATTACCCGTTTGAGCGATCTAAGACCAGGACAAATTTACAATGTGACCATCGCCGCTAGAAACCTAATAAATCAGGAATTAGTCACAAAACACACTCTGATTTCTATGGGTGAGTCAACAACCTGAACTTAACCAATTCAGCAACCTTAAATTTAATAGATCAGAGTTTTTTAAAGGATTAAATGGTGAAAATTAGCTCCTGATTTCGATATCTGTATCAATGCTACTAGATCTATGATACCACACTGCCATGATTTCAAACTTTGTACCGTATTTCTAGAGTATTATTGCAATATCATAAGATGCTTTGAAGTTCCACATCAAAGCCAGCCCTCAAGTAAGTGTTAAAACGTCACTCTGTTTGGTTCCTTCTGGATCTGCGAGTCAACGATGGAGAAGGGCGACAATTCGTAACAAGGCATTGGCAAGTAGAATACGCTTGCTCCGCGTCGCTCCGGCACTAGAGGAACACTGCGCGTGAATCAGTGTTCCCCGCATAATCTACTGTTACGAATTGTCGCCTTGTTAAGAGTTTTCGCCTGTTACGAACTTTCGCCTCACGCAACGGTGAATCACAAAATTTTTCTACAACATGCTGGTTTACTTGTGCCTCATCTAAAAATGTGTGATTTCCGTTGTTTTCAGATTCTTCCGAATTGCGAATTTCAACCATCTACCAGGATTCGAGCTCTGTTTTACTGCAAGCAAATGTAACCTCATCTGACCCTGACCTGTCAGTGCAAAGAGTGAGCTGCGTTAACATGATTACTGGGAAAAACTGCAGCGATAACGTTGATGTATATTCCACCAATAACAACGGAAAGTCTGTTACTATCGGTTTCAGTCACTTGCAACCGGAAGAACTTTACAACGTGACCATCGCTGCTGGAAACAAAAAGATTCAGGATTTGATCGCAAACACAACTCTGATTTGCATGGGTGAGTTAAATCTGAACTTAGATTCTGTATTGGACACATTTATATTTCTATTTTGCAATGTCGAACAAACCGAACTTTTATAAAAATCTAAAATGATTTTTTTTTCATTTTTGCTTTTATTGAACTGTTGCTATATACGACCAAAATGTTCATTTTTTCAATTTCGAGGAATTGGTAAAAGTTTAATATGCGTTCAATTTAGACCCTCCTTCAAATATTGACTGGTTTTCTCAGTCACAAATTGATGGAACAAACTTGGAGTTACCTGTTTCTGCTGACAACTATGAGATCACTTTGGTCCCCACCTTCTGCACTGACAACAAAACACTTGTTCATTCTTACAGGGTGACGTCTCATATAGTATACACAACAGTATGACCGCCTCTGAACAGTCATGCAGTGTATTCTTCTTACATAATTTTTTCCGTAATTTAAACAAGTTTGCTCGTATCAGGGCGAAGCCCTGAATGTTCCGACTGCCTTTTAAGGTTTATGGAGCAGCAGTAAAAACATAAAAAATTAAATGAAATAAAATAAAATAAATTTTTTTTTTCTAAAATTTGAATTTTTATATGAAAATCATCCCCCCACACGCCATATAAAGTACAAAACAATAGATTTCGCTCCTTGTAACAAATCAATTATGGCAAATAGGCTTCTTTCAACCAATTTGGAACGATTTATAAGACGGATTAAATCTCCGCTTACGCATTAAAAGCGCGAATTATATCGCGCGTTAATTGTCCCAAATTGGTCAAAATGGCCAAAATGGCAATCTTTAAACCCTCATAACTTTACGAGAAATGATCACAGGTGAAATATCTTTTCAAATTTAAGCTCAGGACAACAATACCTTTGGAATGATATAAAAAAATTCCGTCAAAAATGGCTAGTTAAAAAGTCGAAATTTGTCTGAAGAAAAAAAACCCACCCCGAGCACAAATATTCCGTTACTTTCGTATCGAAAGTCGGAACAATAACACAGCTCGAATTAACGTTTTAAAAATTCACCCCCTCCCCGGAAGTATTTTTGGTAATAACATCCAATTGTTAACCAATCAGAAAAGAGTAATTTTACATGTAGCGGTAAATATTTCATTTTAATATTGGTGGTTGGATGGAGGATCTCAAATTGGACTTTATAAGGGGGATGTCAACTTGATCCCGTATTTTAAATCAGAGCTTGAACGGAACAAAAACTCAACAAATGTAATGGCACTCAACAAAAAGTATACGTCATGATTTATTTGTATACGTAATGCTACGTCACCCTGTCAGGCTGCCCCTACTATCTACAACATGGAGAAAGGATGCGAGTATAGAGTGCATTACGCTGCTAGATGTCGCCTGCCCACCGGGGGCTCCCTTGCCTCGCAATTTGTACCCTACAACGAATCTTTCTGTACAGGTGATAGTTAATATTTAAGGCTTATGATAATTCTGTACCAAATTGCACTAGGGAGGGGGGGGGGGGGGGGGGGTGAAGAGGTCAACTTCAGTTATATTAGCTATTTTTATAATCTATTTTTAAACACGTTTTTTGAGAAAGAGGCGGATTTAGGGGCGAGGGAGGGGGGTTTGGACGCTTTTTCTTCATAGATTCGATCCCCTCACCAAGCAAAGGATCCGACGTTTGGTATTGTTATGACATCCGTTTTTGGCCAACGACCCGAAAGGGTTTCTAAAGGTGCTTTTGGCGCTAATACTTAATAATTTTAAAGAGGAGCGCGCGCCAACAAAAACTCGATTTGTTGGTCAAAGTTCTTCAAAAATTCCACTGCGCGCAAAAATTTTGTTTAAATAAGGTTAAACACGGTTTAAAAAAGCAGGCGCCAAAATTCTTAAATCGCTTTCAAGAAGAATGTCAGAAGTACCCGCAGTGACAAAAACAGATAAAAATCGATTATTTACAGAAACATCTACAGATATTAAATCTTGCCATTTTGCGAAGGATACTTGATTATGTACAGATAGAATACATTTTTTTCCACCAAAAATAAATGGAATTTAGTGCCAAAATAATCAATTGTTCAATCTGTTAAACCTGTAGATAATCTGCAGATAATATCAAGATAATCTGTAGATTATCTGTATATATTCTGTATAAGATTGATTATATTGCCGAAAAGCTATAAGGCTCTTAAAAGGTGAGTAGTTTTGATCATTCAAAAATTACATAAATGATTTGATTTTTCACATTCGACAGAAGTTTGCAATCAGTAAAAAATTTCCTCACTTTTAAACTAAGCTGGAGTCACTTGAGGAAAACTGGTTATCGCAAGCTACAAGTTTCAAGAGATCCCTCTCAAATTTTGCAATCAAAGTGTTTCCTTGGTCAAAAAAGTATTTTTGTGAAAACTCTTCTTCAAATGACCTTTAAAAGATCAAACTGTTCAGCACACTTTTGTGATAAGAACGTCAATAAAAAGTTAGAAAAAAATTATAGAGCAAAATAGAAAAAATATAGAGCAAGAAAAAATAGTCTCCCATAAGAATAATGTTTGAATTATATGAGTGTGCAAAACCAATTGATAAAGAAAGTTCTTCAATAGAAACTGTTTTGTTAGATTTGTTTTGATTATTTGAAATGTTTATTTGTGTTGATGGTTGTTTTGTTTTCTTAATGAATTTAACTTACCCAGATGCTGTTAGTTTTCTGATGGAGCAAGTTTAAGTCTGTGCGTAGTTTAGAATTCAATATTTTGGTAATGAGCTATATCACTCCACCGCCTTTTGCCTTTTCACTTACTAATGTTCAACTATCATATCAGAAAGCGACAAAATGATTGCTGTCTAGTGTCAATAAGTTGTTGTCGTTCGAGTCATGAAACCATGTCATGTAAATTGAGTTCACTCCACAAGCTTTGACTTGTTCTTCCAGACCAGATCTTTTTTTGTTTAAACTCCTGTAGTTTAGATGTAGAATTTTTATGCTGTTTTTTGTAATTTCGTTGTCTTTCTGCTATGTCAAAAAATTTCAAGGTTGGACCTGGCTTTGGGTCAAAGTTTTTGCAGCCCAAAAATAATCTTGCTAGCATAATTGAAACAAAAAATGTAAGTATTCAATATCGTAATAAAAGTAAAACTGGTTATCGCAAGCTACAAAATTCAAGAGATCCCTCTCAAATTTTGCAATCAAAGTGTTTCCGCGGTCAAAAAAGTATTTTTGTGAAAACTCTTCTTCAAATGACCTTTAAAAGATCAAACCGTTCAGCTCAATTTTGTGATAAGAACGTCAATAAAAAGTTAGAAAAAAATATAGAGCAAATTGTTTTTTGCTGAAATTTATTTGCACAATAAGGAATTTAATTTCACATTTTTGCAGATCACACACCAGTACATAAATTTCAATAAAAAGCCTACGTTATTGTTTTTTTAATGTACTCATTCTACCTGATTGGTGAGAATGTTGAGAAAATCAGTATATAATCTGTACATACATGTATACAGTCTGTCTAAAAATTGTATATAATCTGTATATAGTTTGTATATAATATGTAACTAATCAGTATATAATCTGCAGATAATTTGCAGATAATCTGTAGATAATGTGTATTTAATCAGTTTTGAGTGTGCATAAAATTTAATAAAGAAAAAAAATAGTTTTATAGTGTTTTGGCAATGATTATATAATGAAGATATACAGTATAAATTTTTTGCAGAAATAATCCACTAAAATCGATTATTTAAACTACATAATCGAAGTTTTACTACATTACTAATTTACATTACAACATATCTGAATTCTGTATATTTTTTGTCACTGTCCCTGCATTTTTTTACAGAGAGTGATTTAATAACAAAATTTTGATTGGCAAACTCTTGAAATTTTGTGGCGGTGTTTAACATAAGGCAGGATATAAAAATGACTATATTGCGAACTTTTCGCGGCGAAACTGAATGTTCCTAATAAATCTTCCAACTTTTGCTGATTTTCTAGAAAGACTTCAATTATACAAAAAGTAATTATGAAACAAATCGATACAAAAAGCTTGTAATACAATTTCAAAAGAACGAAAATGCTTATCATATTATTCTATGCTTGGAGTGTATGAAGAAATGATAATCCTCCAGTCTTAACGATTATTTGAAAACGATTATTTGTCTAAAAAGTTGGTACTTGAAAAAGATATGCTCCGAATGTGCTGGTCTTCTGTTTGTTGTATTCGAGCAAAATATCAATTTTTGCTCCTCTGATATTTGCTTTTCCTCTGCGGATTCGCAATAGCAAACTGCACTCTCTCGACTTCGAGGGTCAAAACATAAGTCGAGATTCTTTAGTCTCCCATAGTTAAGTCAAAACTGTAGTTTTTCCACATTATAGTGTTTTTTGTTCCGGCGACTCTCAGAAGAGCTAATATACTGGTCGAATAATAGTCTATTAGCATTATCTCACCCAATTCCAGATTGCACAGTGAAATTTTTCAACTTTGCCATTACGAAGCCAACCTGTGCACTGAACAGGCGCACAATTCTGCGTCTGTTCAGTGCACAGGTTGGCTTCGTAATGGCAAAGTTGAAAAATTTCACTGTGCAATCTGGAATTGGGGGGTGAGATAATGCTAATAGACTATTATTCGACCAATGTATATATATATATAAACATAGCAATTTTGTTTAGAACCTGAACTGCCAAAAGTTTTCAGCTCTATGGCAGATTCCAACATAACGGAGACCACGCTAGAGATAAATGGATTCGGAGTGCCCGCAGGGCAATACGATTACATAGAGTTCAAGCATCTTTATCATGAAACCTGTGGGACACCAATCATCGGGAATTTGACCAGAGGAGAGACTGATCTCAAAAGGAAAGACTTGTTACCCGGTTGTGATTACCATCTGAGATACTCTGCCGTGTGTCGTGCAGATATAGGCACAATTGAGTCGGCTATAAACTATTTAGACATTTGCACAAGTAAGTATTTTGTACGAATTTTCTTGCGTTTCACATTTCAACGTCTCTTTCAAGTTAAAAAAAATGTTGCGTGGAGGGAGAAAGGGATTGATTGGGCGGGGGGTTTACCAAATTAACGCTTTCCCAAATGGAGTTGTTTTTTTTGGTATATTTTACCATCCCACTAGTTTTCATCAAAACATTCAAAAGAGTGTCTTAAAAAGCCATTCCTGCCCTCATTAAAACTCTTCTACCCGGGCTGAGGTGCTCGACCCATGATTCGACCGAAATGGTCGAACTCGACTTTTTGAGTCAAACGATGTCCGTTTTCGATTTTGTTCGACTATACTGGACATAGTTCGACTTTGTTCGACTTTACCGGACATTGTTCATTGTTCGACTTTGTTCGCTTTATCGAGAATTAGCAGAAGAGTCCTGAACTACAACGACACTCGGACATAACACGATGCGGATTTTTTTTTTCTTCAAAATAGTGTTTTTTTATTGGAGTTGACAAACCCATATTGGTTTTAAGCGATAAAAATTGAGTATTTTATGATTTTAGCACCAGTCTTACTAAAAATGAGCAAAAATTGATTTTTATCAATTTAAAATCGATAATAATCTTTCTTTTCAAAATCAAATCATTATCAATTAAAATACATTATAAAAAATTTTTAAATCCTTTATTTTTCGAGACAGTCATGAACGATTATGATCATTTTTTCTTTTATCCGAGTTACTAATTTTTTTGTTTTGCAGAAAAAATTCATTCTGATCGATTATAATATCTCTTTTTGGCCATTTGTCTTCGACCTTACATCTGGTTTGCTATATTTTATGCTTTTCGTAGACTTTGATTTATGTTAAAATTGGGAAACATGTTTTAACAATTTTCAAATCAATTCAAATTTAAAGCGTTTTTACTTTCTCATTCCTTCCCGACTGCAGCTGTTTTTCGATGCACTTTTATTTTCTTAACCACCAAAAAATCAGCCCATTGCTTTAGTTTCATGACTTGTTTGGAAAAGTTTTTTTCCACCTACCGCGGGAACTTTTCAACTAACATGAAGGGATCCCTAAAAAACCTTTGTTTCGTGGTAAAACTTTGTGTTCAGATGAACCAAAGTGTGAAAAGACATCCCACTCTCGAAGTTTTTGGACATATAAGAAAA